GACCTTGGGCGGCGTCCTCGGAGTGATGGGGGCCGCAGTTCTGAGGGGGGGCGCGCCCCGCGTCGTCGGCGTGGACCTCTTGGGCTTCTTCGGGCGCGTGATCGGCCTGCCTCGCGACATGATGAAATCGGACTTCCCCGAGGCGGATTTGGAACTGAACAGGCTTGCGTCGGGGCGCCGCGTGGCAGACGTCGCGGCGCCGCTCGTGGCGCGGGCCCGCGCGCCCAGCAGCGCGCTGACGGCCTGTCCTTTCTGGTCGGCCGGCTCGTTCTGCCTTGCCGCGGGGGGGGGGGGGGGGGGGCGCCCGCTAAAGACAGCCGAGGGCGGTTCGGCCCAGACTGTGCTGACGTGCATCTTCGCCTTTATCTCCATCTTCATCTGCGTCCTCGTCGCGGCGTTTCCCCGGGGACCTCAGGGAGCTTTCGGGAGCTTTGGGATCAGAGCCTTCCGGGGGGGGGGGTGGGGGCGCCGGGAGGCCGGACTTTCCCGGGGCCCTGGGGGTCGCGATCCCAGAACGTCCGGGGGCAGCGTCGCCGCGATGCAGGAGGGGTCCAGAATAAAGACAGTGAGAACCCAGGAGGAAAGGACGGAATTGCCGCGAGCTTAGAGAGCAACGATTCCACTCGATTGGGGCCCTGGGAGGTCTGCGAGATAGTTCGGCTATCGGGTCTGAAAGTGATCGCCGACCGCGAAAAGCATCGATCGGGGAACGGCGAGACTCGAGACTCTGGGGCCCCGAAGAAAAACGCGGAAACGCTGTCCGTAAGCATGCCGGCTCGAATCTTTCAGACGGTCGTCGACGGTGCACGCCCAATGGAGAGCCGCATGTCAGGGGGAGTTGCTGGTCATGCGGATGTTCGCTGGTGTCTTCTGGGTGCAGATTTCTCAGTGCATCGCAGTCTCATCCAAAGGGGGGCCCTCGAAATCGAGTTCCAGGAACGGACTGCCATCGATTCCAGAGGGGGCGCCTCGTGACCTGGGGCCGAGTCCGAGCGCGGACCGACGGGGGCCCATCCCGGGGGCGTTTCAGGCTGCTCAGATCGCGGTGGCGGAGGCGCGGGCGCAGCGAGCCGCCGCGGGGGAACTGCGACGCCCGCCGCCCGAGCCGCCGCCGACGAAGTCGCCCGGGCAGACTTTCATCGGGGGCCCCGAGGCCGACTTCCCCGACGACCGAGAACCCTCCACCGCCACCTCCCGCAACCGGGAGATCGGGGGGGGCCGTGGGGACGAGTTCCCACGGAGGGCTTCGCGGAGAACCAGTGAAATTTTGTCCGCGCTACATCCCTCGATCCTAAGGCAATCAACGTGGAAACAGGGCCGCGTGCAAGGGCTGCGGGGTCAAGATCGCCTGGGTCGGAGGCGCCCAACAACCCAATTCTGGAGATCCGCCCCCCCTGGCCTCAACTGCCGCCGCCGCCCGGAGGGCAGCCGAGCGCGCGGAGAGGGTCGTCGAGTCGTCGAGCTTCTCGAGGCCCAGGGGCCCATCGTTGGGGGCGCGACGTTTCAGGTTGCGAACGACGCGAGGCGGCTGCCGACGACGATCGCCAGTTGCAGGACCTCCCGGAGGGAATGCAGGGGGTCCAGAGGGCGCGCGAGTCGCTCGAGCGGATGTGCGAGCAGGTCGTGTCGCTCCAGGCCCATCTGGACCAGGCCGCCGAGGCCTGCCGGCAGATCTTCCAGGGGCTCGCTCGTGTCCGTCGGATGTTGGAATGCACTCTGGAGCCCGTAGGAGAGCTGAACCAGACTTTGAGCGCGCTCGCGGGCCAGGTAGCCAACGTGGAGACCTCCATGGGCCAGTTGGGGCAGATGGGGATCCAGGTATCGGGGATATGCAACGTGCTCGACGCGGGGATGTTCTCTCAGCTCGGAGGGTCATCGGTCTCGGGGGGCGGGGCCCAGCAGACAGGATGGAAAGTCGTGCTGGAGGAACGGCCCCCTCCAGACAAGAGCGAGCCGAGTCAGGGATACCGGTGAGTTTTGAGAGCCGATCCGATCCATATTTCTACATGCGCTGCGTTCTCGCGCGCGCGCAGCATCCGGCGCCCCTCGAGCAGCGCTGTCTTCCCGGGGCCTCGGGGTCCGAAGGGGTTCTCGAGGCAGCTCTGTGGTTGGGCGGGGGCGCGTTCAACGGCGATCGCGAGCTTGCTCTATCGTGCGATGTGAATAGCAAACTGTTGGAGTTTACCTCTCGGATGAAAGGAGAAAGCGAGACCTGGGCCGCGGGTCCCGGGGCGGGGTCAGGGAATCCAAGAGAATCTTTTCAAAGAGCCCGATGGGGCCGCGCCGCCATCATTGAAGTCTTCTCCCCGCCCAGAGTAGGACCAGAGCTCTCGAAACTGGGGCTTCCGCTCGGGGCGCGCGCGAGTTTCGACCGACTCGCGGTTGGGACTTTCGGTGGCCGGATGCGATTTGTGAGTCCTGGGAAGCGATGCACAGCGACGAGCTCGAAGTTGCGGCTTAGCCCGGAGCGCAGATCCTTCTCAGCCCTGAACAACATCGATCTTCCGCAGATAGCCCCAGAGAAACGCTATCTGATGGTCTCAGAAGTCGTGGCAGCGCATCTGTTCAGTATGGTTTTTGCTGTGCCCCAGGCCGGGTGCGGTATATTCCTCGCCTTCGAACCCCCGTATTCTGTTGCGTATTGGATGTCTGAGGCGGTAGGGCCGGTGGCTCAGCCGCCGGGGGCGCGCGAGCTAGGCGTGGACATGTGCGCGTTCAACCTTCAGGTGCGCAGCGACGGTCTCAGCAAGAAACCAACGGGCATTATTGTAAGATTTCCAGGGATTCAGAGGGCTCTGGGAGGACACGCATGCCCAGTAGGACACGAGCATGTGATTTTGGAGAGGTGCATCCTCTCGAGGTTGTGAGAGCTGTGGCCCGAGCGATCCTGGAGGCGCGGGGGGGGGGGCTTGGCGAGGCAGCCCGCGTCTGTCTCATCCCTGGACATATGCGGCGCATGCCTTTCGGCGCTTGGTTCAGCGCGGACAGGTGCAAGGCCCCCGTCGTCGGCTGGAATCTAGCGGAGCACAGCGGCGACGTCGACGCCTCTGACGCGGCGCGACTGGTGTTCGCCGGGCCGCAGACCTCGAGCCCGTTCTTGTTTTGCAGGCGCAAGGTCACGCGCGCTGGTTTTCCCGCCCCCCACGCTCAGGCCCACACCTCGCGGTCTGTCAGGGCGGGGCCACGCGCCGCGGAGTCGTCGTCGACGCCGAATGCACGGGCGATGGCGAACAGGACGGCCGGTGCCTGCACCTCTATACGCGATGCTCTACAGGGCCACGAATTTCGACGATCTCCTGGTGATCCGGGGCCTGAGGCTGCAGCCCCTTTCTCGCAGGCCGTCCGCGGACCTCGCGGCGCGCCTGCGTGATTTTACCTGCCGCGTTGAGAAGTGTCGGTGAGAGGCCCAGCATCTGGCAGAGCAGCTCGGCCTCGCGCAGTTCTTGCGCTGATTGTAACAGACTGCTTGCGTGCCTCGAAACATAGCCAAACTCCTTCCTCTGCCTTTCTCCCGTGGTCGCTTCCTTCCTTCTTGATGCCGTGTCCTCTTGCTGCTGTCTCGTTGGTTGTTGCAGATCCTCGCCCGCCGTCTTCCCTTCGCCCTCGCCCCTCTTTCCCTTCGCCCCAGGGGCCCCACTAATTGCCTCTATCGAGCCCTTGTCCATCGAGCCGTGTCCTGCGAGTCGCGTGCCTCGGGGGCTTCCCAAGTAGCGTTCGCAGAAATATGTGCGTCCGTGACGTGTTGCCACCCCTTATGAAGTCTACCCAGCTGTTCTGGCCATGCGTTGCGCGAGGTTTGGTTGCGTCGCCAGTGCAATGAATCGCTTCGGTCATTTCGCCGGCCCAGACTGTTCCATCGCGGGTGTTTGTCCGCGCCGGCTGGATTTTTTCTTATATATATATATATATATATATATTATATAATGTTGCGTGGGCAGTCAAGGGCGTCTCGGGGCAGAGGGCTCGACGTGGCCGTGGGTGCCCCCTCGCTTGGGCCCTTCTTCGTCCCGCCTTGAGGCTCTGTTCGGCCGTCTTGGGATTCTTTCGGGGCTCGCTGTGTCATCGTGGGCGCCGGTTTGCGTGCTCGCGGGGGCATATTCGGGGTTTCGTGGGGTCTCGCGGGGGCATGTTCGGGTCCTCTCGGGGTCCCTTGGGGGCCTCTTGGGGGCTTCTGGCAGTCTCGCAGGCAGCCTATGGCGGAAAGGCTCGACATCTCAGTTCGTGTTCCCCCTCTTTGGCCCCTTCGGCGGGTCTCCCGAGCCCTCTCTGGAGTTTCCTCCATAATGAGATTCAAACTGGGGTCCAAGGTCGGTGCCAAACAATACAAGTCGGTTCCAGACAATGGACAAATGCGCATCTCGTGCGGAGTTTCTTGGGGAAGCAGGTTCCGAACCAGGATCCGGTCGTTCCATACAATCGAACAGTGGGCGTATCGTGAGGGACTTCCCCTTTTTAATGAACTTCTGGCCATGTTCGAATTTTGTCCCAAACAATTGAAACATGGACGTTTTCGTGCGGAAATTCCTCGAACAACACGTTTGAACCAGGCTTGGATTCGGCTTCAATCGATCGGAGAGTGAGCGGCTCGTGCGGGACGTCTTCGGAATAAAAAAACATGTTCGAAACAGGGTCGACGTCGGTTCGGAACAATAAAACATGACGTTCTCACAGGCTGGTTCTGTTTCTCGCTTGCACCTCGCGACGTTTTCGCGCATCCCGCCCACGCGCGCCGCAGTGGCAACACTGGGCGGAACTTCCATCACGCCCACTGGCAACATCAGGCCGCCCTCGGGGCAAACGCAGACCGTCCTTCCAGTAAGCATCTAGCCTTCGGCAGGGCAACATTGGGCGGAATTTTCATCACGTTCTTTTAGTAGGGCAACATTGGGCGGAACTTGCATCACGCCCACTGGCAACAGAAGGCCGCCCTCCGGGCAAACGCAGACCGTCCTTCCGACAAGCAGCCCATCCCCCTTCCGCCCCGCCCCCCCCCGCGGCAGGGAGCAGGACCTGCTGTGGTTCGCCGAGGAGGCCCGCCGTCGTCGTCGCCGCCGCCGCCGCCGCCGCCGCCGCCGCCATCGTCGTCGTCGTCGTCGTCGTCGTCGTCGTCGTCGTCGGTATCCCGCGGGGCGGGGTGCAGCGCGGGTGCCTCCGTCGCGGCGGTCCTGGGAAGGGGGGCGGGGCGGTCGGGGCGCGTGGCGCGGGGAGGGCCTCGAGATCCGGGCAAGCAGTGTTCTCGCGCCCAGCGTTCTCGCCAGGTCTGGGCCGGGGTTGGGGCCCTGGGACCTTCGGCGTGGGTCCATCTTGAGATATGCCGCACAGAGATGGGGTCCAGGGCCCTAGTCGTGATGTTTCGCGCTGTCGCATTGTTGTTCGCGTCGTGGGATCCGAATGGGGGGTGAACGAGGCCCCCCGCTCGACCTCATCTGCGGCGAGTGCCTGGGCCGACGTCGCACTTCCAGGACGACCAGGCTTCGAAACATCCCCTGCTCTGTCATCTGACGGCGTGAGGCGAGTTGTTCGTAGGCGATGAACTCAACGCTGGGAGCCCGACTAGATTATGATACTCCAGGCCTTCGCCGCGCGAGAGCGAAACCTCCTCACGCCACGGAGCCTGTTGTTCTGACCGCGGTGCATGCCTACCAACAGCCGGATCCGTGCCGTCAGTGCACAACGGCCCCCGGGCTCGATTGCGAAGGCCTTGCGGCCAGTGCCGCCGACCTTGAAGGGGGACGTCGACGACGGCTGTGGCGGTGGAGGCGGCGACGACGACGACGCTGACGTGGGTCCGAGTCCTCAGGGATGCTCCTTGGGGCCTCCTGGGAAGGCTCTCGGGGGTCTCGGGGGGGGAGTTGTTGGTCCCTTGGGGGCCTCTTGGGGGCCTCTTGGGGGGCCTCTTCGGGTGTCCTCGGGGGTCTCTTGGGGGGCCTCTTGGGAAGGCTCTCGGGGGTCTCTGGGGGGAATTGTTGGTCCCTTGGGGGCCTCTTCGGGTGTCCTCTTGCGGGGCCTCTTCGGGTGTCCTCGGGGGCCTGCTGGTGGGCTTCTTAGGGCCTCGTTGGGGACCTCCGGGGGCCTCCCGAGCAGTAGGGGCGGCAGCGGGGCGAGTCCTCGACTCGCCCACCCAGCGATTACGAGCCGCGACCACTGGCGACTACGAACGGCCACGAGTGGCCATGGGGCGAGTCTTCGACACACCAATCGTTTTTGTTGTTGCTTTGTTGTTGTCTTTGTTAGTTAGTTAGTTAGTTAGTTAGTTAGTTTGTTTGTTTGTTTGTTTGTTTGTTTGTTTGTTTGCTCCCAACCATCCTGAGGTGCTGGGCCCTCGTTTTGGAGAGACAGCGCCCCGCGTTCCTCTCTCCTTCCTCCTCCCTCCCCTCGTGTGCCCTCCGCGTGTCCCTGTTTCGGCACACCCAGCACAGTGTTTCGTGACCCCATCGAGAGCTCCACCGAAGGCCCCAGTGGCAGGGTTCGCATGGCGGCCTCGGGCGATTTCGACACGCCCCTCACGAGAATCGTGGCCCCAGAGGGAGCTCCACCGAAGGCGCCAGTGGCAGGGTTCGCATGGCGGCGTCGGGCCATTTCGGCACACCCCTCACGAGGATCGTGGCCCCATAGGGAGCTCCACCCAATGCCCCAGTGGCAGGGTTCGCGTGGTGGCTTCGTGCTATTTCGGCACACCCCTCACGAGGATCGTGGCCCCATAGGAGCTCCACCGAAGGCGCCAGTAGCAGGGTGCGCATTGCGGCCTCGGGTCATTTCGACACACCCCTCACGAGGATCGTGGCCCCATAGAGGGCTCCACCGAAGGCGCCAGTGGCAGGGTTCGCATGGCGGCCTCGGGCCATTTCGGCACACCACTCACGAGGATCGGGGCCCCATAGGAAGCTCCACCCGAGGCCCCAGTGGCTGTGTTCACATGCGGCCTCGGGCCATTTCGGCACACCCCTCACAAGGATCGTGGCCCCATACCGAGCTCCACCGAGGCGCCAGTGGCAGGGTTCGCATGGCGGCGTCGGGCCATTTCGACACACCACTCACGAGGATCGTGGCCTCATAGGAGAGCCACTGAAGGCGCCAGTAGCAAGGTTCGCATGGCGGCCTCGGGCCGTTTCGGCACACCCATCATGAGGATCGTGCTAGAACCGCAGATCGCGACGGTGCGCGAACAATTTCTTGTCAAGACGCGAGAGCGATATGCGATCGAGGTGCGCAATCGGTCAGATCCCTTGTTGTCGTCCCCACCTCCCGCTGCCTGTTCACTTGCCCCCCCCTTTGCCTCCCTGCCCCCTTCCCCGCCCCCGGGACGCCGCGGTCCCACCCGCGTCCAGGCTCTACGCGCGCAGCTGCCTCCAGGCCCGGGGACTGATGGGAAGGGGGAGGAGAACAAAATGTGGAGAGGATAAGGAGGGGGCGTAGGGGGGAGAAGGAGAAAGAGGCATACCAGCGACACCGTGAAGGCACCGACGTGTCCATGTTGGACGTGCAGGAGGTGCAGCAATGGGCCGCGCTCCTGGCCGATGGGCACGCCGACTAGGATGCGTGTGTGGCAGCTGCGTCTTCAAACGCGGTCCGCTTTCGACTGCTCGGTGAGGCGTCCACGCTCCGCTGCGGGCTCCGAGCATCTGTGCACAACGTCCGCGTCAAAGCGAACTCGCGAGCCCAGTGCGGCGTCGCCGTCGAGGCGATGCAGGAGGCATCCAATCGGCACCACGGCCACCTCCAGTGTGGGCGCGCGAAGACTGCGATCGTGGCCCAGAACTTCGCAGGCACCAAGCGGGTTCGCGGCATGGCATCCGTCCACGAGCGCTGGTGTTTCGGGACTCCGGCCTCAGTACCTGGCTCGACTTGCAGTCGGCCAGCGCGGTACTGGCCGAACTGCTCACCGCGGAGCGCGAGAAGCAGTTGCCCTGTGCTGTGAACGGCTGGAGGCAGTGCGTGCGGAGCGGAGGAGGAGGAGGAGGAGCAGGAGGAGGAGGAGGAGGAGGAGGAGGAGGAGGAGGAGGAGGAGGAGGAGGAGGAAGAGGAGGAGGAGGAGGAGGAGGAGCATGAGGAGGAGGAGGAGGAGGAGCAGGAGGAGGCAGTGCGCGCGGAGCGAGATGCTGGGACCGCCGTGCCTGTGGTCATGCTGCTGGCTGCCAAGGCGGGAGCGCGGGGTCGCCTGCCTCTCCAGCGTCGGCGACTGCGGACGGCGACGGATTCGCCTGCTCCGCTGGTGTCCGTGGGGCTGACGCCGCCAGGATTGGCCCACGTTTCGGCGAGCGCATCGCGTCAGACCTACGTTTTTAGTTTACGTTTGAATCGGGCCTGTTCCTCTACAGGAGGAATCTTTAAAAGTAGTTCAGACGTAGTCTGGGGACCATTTCGTGGCTACTTTTAAATCTTTTGGAATACTTTTTGACTATTCTTTCTTTTTCGCCCAAAGCCCGCATGTAGGAGGACATGCCCGACCTGCGTCCACGCGTGGAGCTCCGTCTCGGTACAGCAGCGTGCTGCGCGTGGCGCATCGGGGCCGCTCGGCGCCAGGCTCCCCGACCGCCGGTGGGCTCGCTCGTCGCCAGTGGGATCGCCGCTCCCGCCGCGTCGGCAGGGAGGCCCACCCCCTCCTCCTCCTCCTCCTCCTCCACCTCCTCCTCCTCCTCCTCCTCCTCCTCCTCCTCCTCCTCCTCCACCTCTTCCTGCTCCTCCTCCCCCTCCTCTTCCTCCTCCTCCTCCTCCTTCTCCTCCTCCTCCTCCTCCTGCACGGGGGCCCCCCCCTCGGGGGCCCCCGCGGTGGAGCCGAGCTCCGCGCCGCCCCCGCCGCCGCCCCGAGCGGGGGGGGGGGTTAGGCTCCGCCCGGGCGCGCGGGTGCTCGAGAGCCGGTCGCGCAGCGGCCTCGGCCTCGCGGGCCGCCTGCGGCGGGCGCGTGGCGGCTCCCGCGGGGGGCGGCCCGGCTGCCGGCGAGGCGCATCGGTCCGCCTCTGTGGCTGCCTCGGCGCGCCCGTTCTGATGCGCGAGGGGCGCCCTTTTCTCAGAGCCTGCGCGTCAGTGCGCCGCGTGCTGGCTCGACGTATCGGCCCGCGTGTCGCGCCGGACCTACGTTTTCGGTCTCCGCGTGGGGCTCCGTATCAATGCGCTGCGTGTTGCGTGTTGCGTGTTGCGTGTTATGCAGCGAAGGCCGGGGGCGGTCCTGATTCAAGCGATCTGGATAAGTTCGCCTACCCAGATATTCGGCGTCGCGCTTTGGGCCCCCGACCTCCCGGCCGCCTCCGTGGGGCCGGTTTTCTCCTCCCGCGCCGTTGTTTGATGGCCTCTCGGGGCCGAAAGGGCCGGCCGCCTCCGTGGGGCCGGTTTTCTCCTCCCGCGCCGTTGTTTGATGGCCTCTCGGGGCCGAAAGGGCCCCGAGAGGCCGAGAACTGCATGCAAAACCGCAGCCTCGACTTTTTCGAGGCGCCGGATCTCTGGGTGGATTCTCGCCCGCCCTCGCCGGGGCGTCGGCGCCGTGGCGAGCGCCCGGGGGAGGCCTCGCGGACGCGGGGAGCGCCCTCGCCCGGGCGAAGCCTCCGGCGGGCTTTGGTGCGGCGCCGGCGGTGGGGCGAGGCTCTTGGGCGGCCGCTGCGGAGACGTGCCGAAAAGAGGAGAACCCCAAAGTTCACCAAAAACCCGCAGGAGGTCAATGATTTGCGCCTCTTGGGGCTTTCTTGGGAGTGCTCTTGGAAGCTTTTTGAGGCCTTGGGGCCGTCCTGGAGGCCTCTTGGGCCATCTTGAGGTCACGCAGGGCCCTGACGGCTGGGGGAGCGTAAGACTCGAGCACGCCAGAGCTCGGGTTCGCCTAAGCTTGTGGACGAGCCCGTCCCGAGTTTTGGCGGTCTAGTTTTCGTGGGAGGTCTGCAGCGGGAGCCCGCGTCGAATTTCAGGGCCGCGTGGTTCTGACGATGTCCCCGTCGGGCCAACCCGAGTCTTCCTAACCGGAGTCTTCGCCTCTCCCCGAAAGGTGCATTTTTCACAATGGGCGTTTTGGCTAGTCTTTCGGGCCCCAGGACCCTCACAGATCGATCCTGCTCGAGAAATGACGCAGAAAGATAGGGTCCGGGGGTCTGGTCGTGCTTTTTTTGCGATGTTGCAGCATGTTTTCTCAATTTTGGATCGAATCGGGAGGCGTCGACCTTCTCAATTCGACCGTGCGGGCGTTTCGCCATGCTGAGGGGCTTCTCAGGGCTAGCCTGGCGGGAACCCTCTAGCTCATGTTCTCGACAAGGTGCAGTCCCACTGGACCCTGGTCTGCCGTCCGTGGCGGCGGCCGAGCACCTCTTCGTGGCAGCAGACAGGCATGATATGTTCGGGCTTGAAGCCGAATTGCTCTCTCAAGCCTTTTTAGGAGGCCAGTTTGCATGAGCGAGTCTCTCTCTCTCTCTCTCTTTTCAAGCCGTCTGGGCCAGGAACGGCTAGGATCCGTCGTAGCCGTTCCAACATGGGACGGGAATTTCGGACGCAACGTCGTTCGGGAACAGTGTCGATGGCACCCCACGCCGCTTTACATGTTGTTTCGGCCACCAGGCCCGGACAACAATAGCCACACTTTGTTGGCGTATGCGGGGGTTGTGGTGCAAGCTGTCGTGGCCACAACCTTCGGGGAGGAGGCGCCGTCCTCACTGCTGTAATCCTTGGCAGGTGCGTGGATGGAAAAATCACCATGTTGGAGCGGCTAGGCGTGGGCGTCTCCGCTCAGCTCGACAAGTTGAATCGACCGAGTCCACGGCCGCATCGAGAGTGCCGTCGATCTGCAAAGGGCTGTGCGAGGGAGCTCCTCCTCGGAACGCTTGGTTTCGTGGCTACCTTTTTAGGTCGAGGACACATGAACATATTCAAAACATATCCCAGAATAGAATGGTCAAACAATGGTCGACAAATCATCCCCAGACTATTTTTTGGCTATGTTTGAAGACTCCTCCTGTGGAGGGACGTGCCCGACTTAAGGCTGCCTCGCTTGCGAGACTCGCTCCGGCTGGCTCTGATCGCACGCAGGTATTGGCCGTGATGTGGAGAGGGAGGTGTGTTTGTTGTCGCCCACGGGCGCGCTTGGGAATCGCAGTGCACTGGAGGGGAAGGCCTGCCGCCCATCGCAGCCCGGACTTTCCAGAGGGCCGGCGGCCAGAGGGCCAAGCAGCTGGGCCGGCTGTCCCTCGCGTGTTCACGTTGTGCACGTTGCTCGCCCGCGTCCGACTGGCAGAAGGTACAATGCGCCGCAGTGGCACGCCCTGCTGCTGTCGAACGCCTGCAGTGGTCCCGGACGCCAGCGTCCTCGCATATTCTCAGGGCTTGCCCTCCTCGCGTCCTGCCTTGCTCGACTAGACGTAAGAGTGACCTTTCGCCGGAGTGACCTTTGGTGCGGGCACAAATGGGTCCCCAGATGGCTGAAAACGATGCAGGAACAGCGGCTTGCGCGCCCAGGTTTGGTCCCCCCGCGGTCCTCCAAAAGCCGCGCACGAAAGGTCACTCTTACCCAGGGTCACTCTTGCGTGTAGCCGACTTGGCTCGGGCTGGCGGGCAGGTCCCGCGGATCCAGATCGCGTCCACGAGTGTCACTTGATGCGGCGGTGAAGGATTTTCCTGCGTCCTCCTCCGTGGTTGTTCTGCTCCCCCCGAGTGCACAGACGATCTCTAGTTTTTCAGTGGAGTGGCTCCGTCCTCGTGCGTTTCCCTTTCCATGTCTTGGGTTGGCGCCCGGAATCTTCAGAGGGCCAGTGGCCAGGGGGCATGGCCAATGGCCTGATTATTCTTCCAGTGCTTTTCGGTTTTACGCGTTGCTCGCTCCTTTCCGACTGGAAGAAAATACAATTCGCAAGAGTTGCATGTCCAGTTGCTGTTGAAAGCATGGTGATGGTGATGACGGTGACAATGATGATAATGCTACTGATGATGCTGCTGCTGATGATGTTGACGATGCTGATGATGATGCTGATGCTGCTGCTGCTGATGATTATGATGCTCATGATGATGATGATGAAGATGCTGCTGATTCTGCTGATGCTGCTGCTTACAATGCTGCTGATGATGACGACGATGCTGCTGGTGATAATGACGATGCTGCTGCTGCTGCTGCTGCTGATGATGATGATGATGATGATGATGATGACGCTGATGATGATGCTGCTGATGATGATGATGATGCGGAGGAGGAGGATGCGGGTGACCAGGGGGTTTGGAGAATGGCATGGGGTATGGAGGGGGGGAGGAGGAGGAGATGCTGCTACTGCTGATGATGACGATGATGATGATGATGATGATGATGATGATGATGATGATGATGACGATGATGATGATGATGATGCTGATGATGATGCTGATGCTGATGCTGATGCTGATGCTGATGCTAGTGCTGCTGTTGCTGATGATGTTGTTGATGATGACGATGACGATGACGATGCTGATGATTATGTTGAGGATGCTGATGATACTGCTGCTGATGATGATGCTGATGCTGATGATACTGATAATGATGATGATGATGCAAATGCTGATGATGCTGCTGCTGCTGATGATGATGATGATGATGATGATGCTGATGATGATGATGATGATGATGATGATGATGATGATGATGATGATGATGATGATGATGATGATGATGATGATGATGATGATGATGATGATGATGATGATGATGATGATGATGATGATGATGATGATGATGATGATTATGATGATGATGATGA